CGGTTTTATCGTTTTATCGTTGATGTATATTGGCCAGAGCCCTGTTTTTACACGGATGGGGCAATTCATAAATTGAATAAATAGCAACAGCAACAAAAGCAACAACAACATATTATACATAGACAAAGAAGAAATATTTCAGATGAATTGTGTAAAAATAGATTTTATTAATCCATTTCAATCTAAAATTTCAAGATGATATACAGCCCTATAAATATCTTTCACTTTTGCAAGGTATAGGTAGAAGTTTCTGACCAATAAGAAAGTTTCTTGTAGTCTCCAGTATAAAATCCTTTCCAATCAAGGTACAAAACGGATCAGAACTCAGGGCCTTTTGTGTCGTGGCCCTATAGAATCAGCTACCCTCTGAGACCTGTCATGGTAGGCCATGGAGAGAAAACATTTCACTTAAGATTGTTTTTAGACATGGTTCCCACTATATTACCCTGACATAGACAGTCCATGCTAGCCTGATCTCACAAGTTAAGCATGGCTGGTCCTGGTTAGTACTTGACGGGAGACCAGCAAGGTCATGAGCGGTGGTGCAGGGGATTTTCCCCTGCTTAACTATAACATCTGAACTGCCAAGCTTTGTCAGTTCTAGCCCCGTGCTGGTGTGAGCAACCAAGCCTTGTCCTAGCTCATCGTCTACCCAGCGATTCGAAAGCTTCGGCAAGTAGATAAATTGGGGACCACCCATAAGGGGGTGGGCACACCACTCCCTCTGGGAAGGTGTTAGCTACCGAGTGTGTCTTCTGAAGGCGCGGCGAGATCAAAAGATGAAAGAGCTGTTTCGGCTTCCCTGCAGTGGAGCGAGTCGGCCAGGCGGTGGCAGGGTGGCAGCACGACATCAAGAAGCCCTGACATCATCAGCCAGCCGACAAGAATACACGGAACACGACTGATCCAGCCCGCAGATGAAGCACCGGCTAGCTGCAATGTGTGTGTAATTAAAAATGCTGTATGTTTGTCTTCCCTATCCCCCACGAATATTGTTAGTCCAATTGTCAAAGAGTAACTGTAAATCGCTCTGAGCCCGCAGATGTGTGGGAAAGAGCGATCAATAAATCAAAAGTATTATTATTATTATTATTATTATTATTATTATTATTATTATTATGCAGAGCCAGGTAATGGCAAACCACCTCTGAATATCTCTTGCCTTTAAAAACCCCTGGGATTGCGATAAAAACTTGATGGCACTTTTCACTCCCACGTAGACTACATTGTTTTGGGAACAGAGGCGTCCACAGGGAATGTGTGGCTTGCACATTAAAAGGATACATGGCAGGCACTGGTGAGAGACCAAAGGAGGGCTTGGGTGTTGGGAAATTGTTTATATCAGAATGGGTCCTCCTGGGGTTGCTAAAGTTTGAGAGCCATGATCACAATACATTTATCATCTCAATGATTGATAATTTACCTGCTGACAGCATTTGAAGAGGGACAAGAAGAGGCCTCAAGATTATGCTTTGCCCCACCTCACCTTTCTGCAGACTTGGGCGGGAGTGGTGGAATGGAGGGCAATACTCATGTTGCACCTACACCTCAGCTTCCTACCGACAAACGGCAGCACAACCTACTTCAAAATAATCCATGATGGTCCAATTTTACGACCACTAAGAACTATCCCAAACTCCCCGCCCCCAATCCGAGGCAGGGCTGGAACATGCTGAGGCCCTAAAATAGGTCAAGTTTAAGACGCACCTTAACATTACCCACCCCACCGGTAAATTGGTGACATTCAATATTACAGTCATAGAATCATAGTTAGAACGGACCTCCAGGGTCACCTAGTCCAACCCCCTGCACAATGCAGGAAATTCACAAATACCGCCCCACACACACACACCCCCCCGCAATGACAACTGTTCCATGCCTAGAAGATGACAAAAAACTTCCAGGATCCCTGGCCAAACCACGTTGGGAGAACAATTGCTTCCTGACTCCAAAGTGGACCCTCCTAAGCTGAGCACCAGCCTGTGGTTTATTTAGCGGGTGTGCATCCAGCCTCATTGCAAAATTCAGACTTAAACTGAAGGAAGTTCGGAAAACCACTAGGCCATTCAGATTTGACCTCAATCGCATCCCCGATGAATATACAGTAGAGGTGAATAGGTTTAAGGGACTAGATTTGATAGACAGAGTGCCTGAAGAACTATGGACAGAGGTTTGTGACATTGTACAGGAGGCAGCAATCACCGCCATCCCAAAGAAAAGGAAATGCAAGAAATAGCAGAGGAAAGAAGGAAAGCGAAAGGCAAAGGTGAAAAGGAAAGATTTACCCAACTGAATGCAGATTTCCAGAGAATAGCAAGGAGAGATAAGGACGCTTTCCAGAATGAACAATGCAAAGTAACAGAGGAAAACAACAAAGAAAATTGGAGAAATCAAGGGAACGTTCCATGCAAAGCTGGCCATGATAAAGGACAAAAATGGTAGGGACCTAACAGAAGCAGAAGAGGTTAGGAAAAGATGGCAAGAATACACAGAAGAACTATACAAGAAGGACCTCAATGTCCTTGACAACCACGATGGTATAATCACTGACCTCGAGCCAGACATCCTGGAATGCGAAGTTAAATGGGCCTTAGAAAGCATTACTAACAACAAAGCTAGTGGAGGTGATGGTATCCCAGCTGAGCTATTCAAAGTCTAAAAAGAAGATGCTGTTAAAGTGCTGCACTCAATTTGCCAACAAATTTGGAAAACACAACAGTGGCCACAGGATTGGAAAAGGTCAG